TTTTCATGTTTCATCTCATATTTGATAACATTTTTTTTATCGCCTTTAGTTTTTCATGTGTTGTTATCTATGTTTATGCACGATTTATTGACAGATCTCGATTCAAAACAAAATTCCTGAAGAGCCCTGGTCAGTGAACCTTTTTTGGGAAAAACATTGTTGCAAATGCCAGTCACTTAAATGCCCATCATGCTACAGAACATGACCATACATCTCGGGTTGATTTTCTGGCGGGCGAGTGGGCACGAACCCTGACCGACAGACTGGGATAATATTAATGCGGATTTTGGAGGGACACGAGCTTCGGGATACTGCTTTCTGCAACTTTATAAGAGTTTAGAAGGCTTTTTTTGTCTTGTAGGCAGGTCTTTGCCGAACAAGTTGTTGTTTTTTATTGTGTATTCTATCATTTTTGTTGGTTTCGCAAGGGAACATGGCAGACAGAAATATATATACATATATATTAAACATTTATAAATATAGGTATATACACACACACACACACACACACACACACACACACACACACACACACACACACACACACACACACACACACACACACACACACACACACACACACACACACACACATATACACGCATACACACACATACACACACACACACATACGCACACACACACACACACACACACACACACACACACACACACACACACACACACACACACACACACACACACACACACACACACACACATACACACACATACACATACACACGCATACACACACACACACACACACACACACACACACACACACACACACACACACACACACACACACACACACACACACATATATATATATATATATATATATATATATATATATATATATGTATATATATATATATATATATATATATATATATATATATATATATATATATATATATATATATATATATATATATATATATATATATATATATACATATATATAGATGGCGCGTATATGTTGGAGGAAAATATATTGATTATAAAGCCAAACAGAACATTCCCCGGACCACTGCCACAAGCCTGCAACACTAAGGAAAAATTTCAAAATTGCCTCGCTTCCAGGCAAGGGCTTGGGCGCGTTCGCCGGCGGTTACCTGATCGCTTCCCTCAGCACCGCGGGGGCCTTCAAGGTGTTCGGAGGCGTGGCACTCTTTGGCGCGGTCTTTTACTTCCTTATTCATCACTGCTACATGAAGAAACTTATAGCAAAGAGAGGTAATTTTAACGCGTTCGGACGGTTGTTATATTTTTTGTGCGATATTTTAGAAATGAATGAAAAATAGTTTAAGATTTCAGATGTTTTTGGAAGATTATGTAAGATTTTATTGCGAGATGAAAGATGTTTGCTACCAACGATACATAAAATTTCGTGTCATTGTTTTAAATCGTTTATCTAATCATTTTAATCTTATTGCAGAGAAAGAATACGAGATAACGAAGGCCGAGGAAGACTCGAAGGTGGGCGAGCTGGAAGTCATGCAGGGCAAGGACCGGAGAGTCAGCAGAGTCAGCACCTATTCCAGGAAGTCTTCGGTGGATCAGAATGGCAGGAGACTTTCTGTGGTGGATGTGTTGATGTAAAGATTATTGTCAATGTTGTAGTGTTTATTTTTATTTTATTTTTATTCTACTTCTATTATTTTTTTGAGTTTGTGTGATTGTATATGCATTACATTGCCCGCCTGCATCGAAAAAGTAGTACTTGGAGACTTCGTAGTTAAGGCGTTCCTGAATTGTGTCAGGGACTAACTGAAGAGGGAAATTATGATACTAATCCTAGTATCTTTAGTAGGTTATGTACCCCCATGGTGTACTTCCTATAATTTTTTATTTGTATTATAATCTCTACATATATCTAATGCATTTCAAGTTTAGACTTAATTGAGGATCAATATTCAGATATTTGGCACTGGTTGTCAGATATTCAAGAGAATTCCATTTGCTTGTTTTTGTTCTAATATGATGCCACTTCAAGGTCGTATGAAACGTAACAAATACGGTTAACTTTGTACACATTATGATCCCTGCCCTGTATCCTTCTGAAGACCAGAAATGAATGAGAACGAAGAATTCCTTTTTGTAACTGGCGCTTCTGGATAAAATCTTCAAGAAAGGAAAAACTGGCAACTCATCCAAGCCTCTGGAGTATCTCGATTCGCTAAATCGCTTTTGACGAAAAAATAACTATACTGGTGTTGTAGGCAGGAAATTTCAATAAAATATGTATTAAAGACTTATAAAACAAATACAAGTATTCGTAGGCAAAAGTATTCAGAGTCAAGTGATAAGAATAAAATAGTCGCGGCACTCCTGGGCCGGGGTGAGTTGCCAGTTTTTTTTTCCCCTGTGATTGGACGCTCTGTGCAAAAAGTGCCAATTACGTGCCGCCCTTCCTGGAGTTCTTAGTTCTCATTTAATCCTTTTCTTCACTTGGCACAATGAACCCTCTTGATATTTGAAGATATGCTCGTTCAAAGGGGGTGTTAGATTAATTGTTCGATAATACGTGTACTAATTATTCTAATATAAACCCGTCATCTATAATATGAGCATCGATATATTCACGCTAATGCACTGTAACCCAAGATAGCACATTATGCTGTACATTAAAGTAAAGATTCCGATGTTTATTTTATAAGATGTACGCTAAGGATCAACAAAATATTCAATAAACCTAATTGGTCTGAGAACACCTTTGGACACGCATACCTTCATTTGTCGCAAAATAACTAATTTCCACACTATTCTCGCATCTCCTGTAGACTAATACCGTAAAATACAAGCTAGTGTGACACATAATTTCCGACAGACTTCGTGTTCTTTACTGTACACTGACATTCTGAAGTCAGACCACACATACTAATCTTAATCTCTTTCGTAGGCTATGTACCCCCATGGAGTACTTCCTATACTTTTTATTTGTATTATAATCTTTCCATATATCTCCAACACTTCAAGACTAAGACTTAATGAGGATAAATATTCAAATATCTGGCACTGGTTGTCAGATATGCAAGAGAATTTCTGATTACTTGTTTTTGTTCCAATATGATGACTTCAGGGTTGTATGAAACATTAACTTTGTACATAATACAAGCTATTGTGCTAGGTGTGACACAATTGCTGACAGATTTCATGTCCTTTACTGTGCACGGATATTCTGAAATCAGACCAGGCAAATGATCTTCAGACTATGATCTTAAACTGTTAAATATTTATAACTCTTCCAAATTTGACTTCAGTCACTCACAGATGCATAACAGGTTCTGTGGGTTTTGCCCGTGTTGTTGTTTCAGAGATTATGAAAACATTTATAATTTGAGGTTTATGCAAATTTTTGCTTAAAAGATTCTGAACATAGTTTGGCAAGGAAGACGTGAAATTCAACTAATTTCAAGCCAGAAAAGTTGACATCTTGCCCGTTCCATAGGCTGTGATGGATAATTATTTAAAGTTATCTGCTACGTCAACAACTGTGACTGACAGAAAAATATTATAAAAAGAAAAATACTGCTTTGTGGTCAGGATCTACTTATGCTGTATGCTGTTTGGAAAATAAACACTGAAGATATCTTTTTATACTATTTACAATTGTAAATTTATCGAGCAAGTTATCTATATCCATGTAAGGTAATGTGACTCTGTAAAATTGTTCATTGCTAACAAACATAACTAATAACAATGAAAATAAAATAAAATCCAACAACTGAGTTTTATTATTAAAACCATAAGACTGCTGACATTCATGTACCCATTCACCTATGCACACTTTGTATATACAGATAAAGGCTAACTGACTATGATGATGTGATGAGTTAGAGCAGAAAAGAAAGGTAGAGATGACAATGTAAATCTTCACAACATAAGGTACTTCGATGAAGTTTGTATTTTTGGAGAAAAAAAAATTAAGAGGGAATGAGGGAAAGAGAGGGGAGGGGTATATTGTCAGAGGCACACTCACACTTGGTGTTTCCTTGTATCATAAAACATAAGTTCAACTGCCTCTCTAATTATGATAAAAAGTTACCCCACAAAGTCCCTACATCTGCATCCCCTGGAGTATATGAGCAACTAGTCCCATCTCCTAAGCCCCCCCCCCCCCCTACACACACACAATGAGCAAGGGATTGGTGGGAAGCAAATAATTATATGCATGAACTGAGTATAGCAGTAATCTCATTTTTGCTTTAGCTAGGTGTATAAATGTGTGTACGAAGCTGGTTATGTGAGCATATTAAAATTCTCTAATTCCTGAATTTTCATCCATACACCTCATAGGCTACAATCATAACCTTACAGTCACACATTACATTCATAATCAACTTCAGGGCTGTAGTTAACATCCAGATTTACTCAATCATGGAATAACTTTCTTCTTCTCTACACACCTTTGGTATAAATAAGCGGGGCCTTGAAGCCTACAGGACTTTGCTCGGGAGAAAGAGTAATTAGAATCATCAAGAGCTTGGCAGTGGTCATGAAATGATCTCTGCCATGGTCAGACTTTTTTCTTTTACTTTGTGATCAGGCTACAGGAGTCATTTTTTCTCCTTTACATTTGTAAGATCATTTCCTCCCACTAGTTGAGTTGCTGACTTTTTCACAAATTCAGAGCAGAAATTTTGAACCAGATTTATTTCTAGGTTCACAGCACATAAATACAAAACTCTTTTTGTCACATTAGCAAATTATATGTGCAACATTAAGAAAATGAATTTCCTCATATATTGTACTGTTTTTTTTTTTCTTAATACATATCGCTGATATTTTTGAAGCAAATGTTTGGTGCCAAATATTATATTTTCTTTATAAATAACTTTTCTAGCTTACTTCCATTAATGCACCTTACTTCTGCTAAAGGAACCAATAAAGGATTGTCTTTGTAAAAATATATGTAGAACATTTCCATTCAAATCACTCCATCTTCCTTTTTTAATAATTCTTCTTGAGACAGGATAATGACAGTCACAATGTAATCTGCAATGATATTTTATTACTGAATCCTAACCTTACTAAATGTCTAGACGCGTGTGCTACCGCGTGGTCGGGTGAGGACTGGGTGGTGAACTGACGTCGAGAGTAATGATAATAATGACCATTGCACGGGGCACGGGAGACACTTTGTACTGCTGAGGACCGCCACGGGCATTTGCCCACACTCCCTGGGGCAGACCACAAGACCCTAGTTATACAATACCCACACACTGGTCCTGGTCCGGCCTGCCCTCAAGCTTGGCCCTAGCTGCCCTCTAGATAGGATTCTTGAATTGATCCTGGGAAAATTGCTGGTTAAAACTCATTAAAATATGAAAACTACTACTCTAAGCTACTACTATCATCATTCCCCTTTAAGTAGGGAATGCTATTTAAGTAAACTCACTTATGTACCAGGGTAAAACTAGCTGAGGTTAAAAATAATAAGTCTTTATAGACTTGAGTGAGGTCAGGGTTGAGGGCGGGCGCGGACGGAATAACGGCACCACCTGAAAAATAAACCTTTACAACATATGTTGCCGCAGCTTCTACCGTGTTGCAGGTACCTGGCCCAAACCACACCAAGATTCCTTTCAATGGTTCAAAGGTTAGTGGCAAGTGGGTGTATACTACAATGAAAGATAAGATATCATCTACCATACAAGTATAGACAAGACATTTCCATAACAATGTAATAATTATAATAATAATAATAATATTCAAAGAAATGCTAACCTAACTTGGGCTGAGAAAGAACAAGGTTTGTGCAAGTTATTTAACCTAATGGACAGGTTAACCTAATGACCTCTGCTTATCCCTGCTGCACATCTGCTGTGAATGAAAGGTTTTACAAAACAACTGTACATCTTTGCTTTCCAATGAACTTTTTAAACAGTAAATCAAATCGGAAGTTGAACCCAATAACAGTTTAGTTATTGTTGACAATGTTGACCATTTAAAGAGGCCACTGATAACCATCCTCCATGTAGAAAAATGATATGTAAAATAGTGAATGAATGAATTCCAGTGAGTTTTACAAAAATAAGATGGTCGGGACAAAGGTACCTTGTGATGAATGAGGGATGTGGTGTGGGCCGCCAGGGTGGATGTGACTGCGGCCTTGGGGCGGTCGTGTACCAAGTCGGCACAAGCGGACTCACTGGAGCAGACTAGCCTCCAGTGTTTATCAAGGACAGGACACATCTAATCCAAAACCAGTTACAAACATTCTCACTACATATTTTGCATTACAAAAACAACAAAGAAGGTAGGCTACAAATATAAAGCAGTCAAACATTTGTTCATAAGCCTCTATAAGAGGTCATGTGTATATAAAACTTTACTTGAGACCTAACAATAGAAAATCTCAAACATAGGGTTGACAAAATTTTGATGGCAGTCATTTGTAGCCTGTGTTATTAAGAATAGTTGCAAACTGTCACCAGAGTTTACCCGAAGATCTGCTGACTAGGTACTTCAAGAAGCCTCAGAATAGGTTAAAACAACCCATAACCGCCATAGAGTTCACCATCTATATCACTTACACCAGTCATTATATAAAATATTAAAATTTTTAAGGGGAATAGGAGCAAGTACCATAATAATGAGAATAAGCTAAGCATAGCCCCTCCCTTCTCCCATAACTATAAAGCAATAGAGCCATTTAGAAAATGTTAGTTCCTAAAACTGGACCTTTAAATACAGTAATCAAATCCAACGAGTATCGTCTGGTGGTTACAACTTTTATTTTGCCGGCACTGGACAAGGATGGTGCTCGGCTATGAGACTGGCCACCCTCCACAAACGATGAAATCAATATAAATATTCATAGGCGAAAAAGAGAAATGAAAGGAAAAAAAAAGAAAAAAAAAAGAGAGAGCCCTGTCTTCAGCCCAAGTGTATAAAAGAAGTACCAAGGAAGCCACTATTAAACCACAAAGGAAACCATCCATTCAACTGAAACCTTATCCCTTAATCCCAAGATTTATCCCTCTTAACTATAATAACTGTATACAGCTCTTCCTGTGGAGAGTAGCCAGCAAAAAGTTGATAAATGTCAAAAAATCCTGAGGAGACATGCGTCCATCAGCCACTCACTGACTACACCTACACTATATGGTCAAATTTTGAACAGATCTCCGTCTTCCAAATGTACACATTAACCTGACTGAGGTCCAAACTCTAGAATGTCACTTGCAATGAGTTGAATTGTTTTCACTCTCTTTTTATCAGAGTTTTTGTTATAAAATTAGACAATCATCTCAACTTCCTGAAGCTCAAAGATTGGCTGGATTTATTTAACATTCTTAAACAATCAAGAGATGTTCTAGAATTGGGTCCAAAGATTTTTAAACAGTGCAAAGCTGAACTTAAATGTCTGACATGGTGTACCTGAAGACAATATATTTCACAGGTTTTGACTTAGAGTCATACACTCAGGTGAAGATTTATATGCAGAATGGCAAAATCACATTTAGCCATAATGCCATACAACAAATTTCACCATTCAATTAATAGATATCAAGTTTATTTTAGATTTTTTTTCCATTTACCATTTACCAGAATATCTGGAAGCTAATTAGTACTTAAAACTCTTGATGCTAAAATCCATAAAATGAATGTTCACATATTAAAATCAGCTGTGTGGATCCTACAATATCCTGTACTAGTCAGATATTTGCTCAGCTGTGGTAACCTTGGCACCAGACACCCTGGATTGCAAGGAGGGAATGCCACAGAGAACCAGTGACACATACATGAACAATACAATGAAATAATGGATGGTAGATCATAACATTAAGGTTTGTAAAATTATATATCACATCAAAAATCAATATGGGTTTTAACTTAAGCATGATATCTTCCAATGCAAAGCCTAATGCACATATATTTTTAAGATTTGCAAATGGACTGGTCCAATATTGTATAAGAAACATGACAATCTTTGGTGCTCTTAAGCATTCTAACAGTCTACTAAAATGTCCAATCAATAAATCATAAAAAAGTTGCATCCATTTACAATACCATGGAAGAGATTAGATAAAATCTAAAGGTCTTGCCAGAAGGAGCCCTTTAATAAAGATTCTTATATTATCTTTCACTGAAAGCAAAACAGAATCTCTCAAGCTCCTTTCTAAATGAACAAACAATTATGAAATTTTATATCTAACAGTAGATATTACGCTACATCAACAGTAACTAAAAAGAGTATTCTTACTTTTGTTTTTCATAAATAAAATCCTCTACAACCAAAAATGGCAAAAACATAAGGGCTTCTTATGGCAGCCTTGGTAACACTTAAAAGCACTAAGGATTAGACAATTTCCTTCTGCCAAATATGCACACCACAAAATCCAAATATACCTGCTGATGAATCTTGAAGCTCTCAACTAATCCCCAGGTACACACAAAGATATGAAAAGTAACAGAATAGCAAAGCTGAAGAGAATGCTGGATGTCCAATGTTCACAGTGTGTTTCGGATGATGAACAAACGAGGAGCAGCCCAGTGAAAGTGAGAGTGGAGTGTGGAGGGTGGAATGGGGCAGTGGCATCTGAGATGAGGACAGAATGCTGCACAGTGCTATATCACAGGGTGTCAGAAGAGCTAGCTCATTGGCAATTGATGGAAATTTGGAGACTCTTGGAATTCCTAATTCTGACCTTGTATTCTAGTGGTTGTAAGAACTGATGAAGGGAACGTTCTTGATTGAGGAAATTAAATTACTGAAAAAGAACTCTGGTATACTGCAAGCTTAGAGGGAAAATACAGCCTGTTACAGTGATGGAGTGGCTGTTATTAGAAGTGTTACACCCAGTGTTGTGATGATCATGGCGATGATGATGATGATGATGAAAATAACAAGTGATGGAAGTGTTAGTGGAGTTGTGAAAGTGCATAATGCACATGGTTGCATTGGTTTTTGGTTGTGGCGGTGGTGTGCTGATGCAGAATAAAAGGTATGATATTAGGATGGTCCCAGGCCAACAGAAAAAGGCTGGTGAATTAAAGCAGAGACCTGTGGGGAGCAGAAAGATAAATGGAGCACAGAAGTAGTGGAGATGGAAAGGGTTGAGGTGGAAGTGGAAGATTGGTAGGGAAGCTGGGCCCATCAGAACACACAGTGAGATCGAGGTGGCTGAAGCTCGTGTGCCCTTCCCTCAGGCAGCACACACAAGCCTGGAAGCCAAAGGCGAGTTGAGGGGCACAAACAGTCTTTTTTTTTTTCTTTTCTTTTTTAATCAGACCTACATTTTAGCTATATTTTTTGTACAAGTTTCTAGCCCCATTTACCAGAGTATGCAGTATATATCCATTCATACACAATCCTCGTACCTTAATGCTTTTTGTACCGTGACACCCCTAACTTGACTATCATCTAGATTTATGGAGGAAGAGAAGAGGGGAAAAAATCTGTCACAGTGCCACACAAAACGCTCTTGTAGTGTGTGCTCCTGAAAACACATTAACAAGGCCTCAATGGTCTGGATGGTGTTAGGGCAACTGTTCCAAGAAACAATACATATCAAAAGGGCCCTAAACTTTCTCTGGCAACCAGATGATGTCTTTTCTCCCTTTTTACCTGCAGCCCTGCAGATCAACCAAACCAACACATGGCTCAATATAACACTTCCATTTTTCCATCATCACAACATATTGGCTGCCCTGAGGTGTCCATATGTAATTTAGGGGTGAATGTTAGCAGGTGACTTGGCTATATTCAATCCCTGCTTTGTTTTCAATGTGGAGCTGGCAACTATTTGGTATTCTAAGATCTCCTAGTGAGACCTGTGGTGAATGGACTGCCCCCCAAAGTAATGGTGGTTGTGGAGAGAATGTCTCCCACAGGCTACCTGTGAAGGAGACCGTTTGGTTGGCTGATGGATGCTGATGCTGGTCGCATCTCAAGTTGAACCAGCAGAGGAAAGTGATCTGGAAGGGAAGCAAACCTGTTAATACAAAATATTCTAAAGCCAAAAATCTGTTACCATTATATGCAATCTTTCTATTCTACAGAAATCAACTCTTAATACCTGAAGGTATATGAGGGTGTGGACAGCCCAACACCTTGTTATCTTTAAACCAATCAGTATCAATGGGTCCCAAGACACCCAAAGCTGACATTGTCTCACTGCTGTGGAAGATGTAGTCTATGATTCCTTTGAAATCATACCTGGAAATAAAAACAAAAAACATCAAGTCTCCAAATCTTGAAAACTCTTGTACTCGAGACCTAAATTCCAGATATATCAAAAGCAAACGTTTAAAATGAAAACACCAAAGTTGCTGTTAAACTTACGTATAGTTGGTATATGCCATGATACTAAAATCATAGGCAGCCGAGAGCTTGAAAGAATGGGTGTAGATGTTGGAATTAGAATTGACTAATGAATTATTAGTCTTGGCCATAGCAATCTTCTGCAGGCAGGTTTTATACCCAAAACCTTTGAAGTCTTCATGGTCCATTGACACATTTCCCTTTGTCAAGAACTCAACTACACCTAAAACAGAAAACATTTGCACATTAGCACAATGCAGATTGCAAACTGCACCATCTCAAAACGACAAACGTAAACCCGTCTCTTAGCAACAGTAACGCAAACCCGTCTCTTAGCAACAGCAACGCAAACTCACCTGAGTCAGGAAGTGAATTAAGATCTCCGCACAAGAGAAGCTGAATGGAGTTTGGATCCATCTTGTGCCCAGACCGAGATCTATGCTGTGAATCCTCGACAATTTGTGTGATAATTTGTCTGATTTCACTCATCAACATAATTGTCTGAGGGAAAGAGAAACGAGTTTATACAAATGTATGTATATGTAAAACTTTCTTTTTTTTTTATTACGCATCTAACAGAACTGTTTTACAAATTCATATGTGAACTATAAACTTCACCAATTGATGGTAAGAAGTGAGTGAGTGAGTGAGTGAGTGAGTGAGTGAGTGAGTGAGTGAGTGAGTGAGTGAGACAAAAGACAGACTCTCACCTGAATGAGTTTGACGTCACAGAACTCCGGGTCCCAATGAATGTGGGCTGTACATACTAGCACAGGCTGGCTGATTTGGGATTTATCTGGCAGCAATTCTGAAGATAAAGACTTCAATGAGCACATGAACAGATAAACAAGATCCCTTGCTGCAATATGTTCTACAACAGACATTAATCTTCCTGTGATACATTATAAAAAAATCCTTATGACACCAAAACAGAAAGGAATAATCAAAGGCCGGGTTATTGAGAAACGTACGTGAGTTCTCCCATGCTGCTTCCTTGGTCTCCAGGAGCGCAGCCAGGCCTATGTTGTCTTTAGTCATGACGCGATTCAACATGTCTTCTGATCCATCATGGTTGGCCATAGCGAGTTGGTTAAATTCAATAAGGTGTTCCTTGACCAGGCTGAATCTGTTAATTTCAAGAGGATTAATAACACTTCTCTTTAAGAAATGGTGAAAGTCATTTTCAACCTGTTATAATTAAACATGAATTTTCTACAATTTCTACACAAAGTAATGAGTTAGCCTACATACATTCACGGACAGACATCCTCTCTGATCTCTAGCACACTGGCTTTCTTGTTAAATTAACTCACTCGCATCAGGAAGCCATGTACACAAACACTACTCCCTCTAATTTTAGTTTGGAAATTTTGCTTTCAATAAGATGGCTGCATAAATAATTACTCAGCAAGAAGTCAGTTACTAAACCTACTTGACTTCCCTTCTTTACCCTTTTCCTTGGTTTTTGGAAGGATTATTTTTTATTTTTTATTTGTATCATCATTATCAATCATTAATCATCACAATCAGAAAGTAAATAAATATGCCAACAACAATAACAACAAGAACAGTACAGTAGTAACAATATCAAGGTTAAAAATATTTATATATATATATATATATATAAAAATAAAAATGAATAAATAAAAGTAAAATCAGAAATAAAGTATCAGGTGCAATCAGGTGTACTAATTGAGTTATCTATATGTAAACAAAATTTGGAAAACAAAATTCTAATGGACAAACACCAACCAATTATTGTGTCGCAGTTCCTTTTCACCTAATATGCAATTCTAAAAATATTATCTACACATTTATTGTCTCATTCAGAGGTAAAGAACAGTTTTCTTATACAACTTGGTTTCTCCATTCATTATAGTCATACCAATTTTAGTAAAACAATTTTTTTACTGAAATGAATGCCTTTATCATCATTTATCCCAAAGATTGTACCAGTCACACCCATAAAACACAAGCAACACAAAGTTCTTTTTCTGTAGGATCCCACAAACTGGGACAACAGTAAAGAAGTCTTTTCCCAACCTCAATCACTTAATTGTGAGATACATCGACATCCTGGCAATAACTCATTACAGGCTCTTGCACGGAAACACTCTCTCTCCCAGTTTTACACAAAGCAGTATTCACATTCCTTTGTAAATTTACATGAAATCAAGGTTAGTTATGTCTTCTTTCTGTTGAAATGCAGCCTTGAAAAGTA